CTGTACACAGTTGTTCCTGCAGACCCTAGAGAAACCCTGACTTCTATCAATCAGGAAGTTGTGCACCCACCACAGACTGAGGCACAACACCATCGACCTCAGAGAGAAGAAAAGGTTCAAGCAACTTCGAAGTCCACCAAACATTCATCCTCTTCTTTCTCTCAGCAGCAACAGTCCTCGGCCTCTCAGAACAACCAAACATTGTCTCAAAGCCCCCACATGAGCCTCAATTCACACCTGACCTCTGCCTCACAACAACTAGCACAACAGCTTATTCCTTACCAGTGTGAGCAGTGCAAGATTGCTTTCCCTTCGTTTGAGCACTGGCAGGAACACCAGCAGTTACACTTCCTCTCTGTGCAAAATCAGTTTATCCACCCTCAATTTCTTGACCGTCCGATTGACATGCCTTTCATGCTGTTTGATCCTAGCAATCCTCTTCTGGCAAGTCAACTGCTCTCTGGGGCAATGCCACAGATTCCCAGTAGCTCAGCTACCTCTCCGTCCACACCTACGTCCACCATGAACTGTTTGAAGAGAAAGTTGGAAGAGAAAGCTGGCACTAGTCCAGGAGAGAATGACAGCACAAACAGTGGGGAAGAGCCCCAGAGAGACAAGAGGCTTAGAACTACCATCACACCTGAGCAGCTAGAGGTCCTTTATCAGAAGTACTTATTAGATTCTAATCCAACACGTAAAATGCTTGACCACATTGCCCATGAGGTTGGATTAAAGAAGAGAGTAGTGCAAGTCTGGTTTCAGAACACCAGGGCAAGAGAGCGAAAAGGCCAGTTTAGAGCAGTCGGACCAGCACAAGCTCATCGCAGGTGTCCCTTTTGTCGAGCACTGTTTAAAGCAAAAACAGCACTTGAGGCACACATTCGCTCCCGCCACTGGCATGAAGCCAAACGAGCTGGATATAATTTAGCTCTCTCTGACCAAGAAGGTTTGCAAATAAAAATGGATGCTTTAGAGACCACTAGTTACTCACAGATGGCCTCTGCAAATACTGATGGACAGAGCTCCTCCATGTCCCCTGTAAATAAGGGCTTGGACTTGTCTCCCAGGGCTCTGCTGAGCCCCTCTTCCATCAAGGTGGAGGGAATGGAAGAGTTTGAGAGTGCGGCCATGTCTTCTGTGAACCTCAGCTTTGATCACAGCAAAATCGATAATGATGACTGTTCTTCTGTAAACACAGCCATCACAGATACAACCACAGGTGATGAGGCCATCGCAGACAATGACAGTGCAGACGCAAAGCACAGCCACAACAGTGGTGATTACATGTCTAAGTCTGGAGGCTCAGTCCCCATGCTTGAAAATGATGACCAGATGTCTTCAGGGCTTGTCAGCCCTGCAACAAGCTACTATGCTAAGGACTATGAAAATGAACATATAATTGACCACAGTGAGACCTCCAGCCTGGCTGATCCCTGCTCGCCAAGTCCTGGAGCCTCAGGAACCAGGAGCATTGACAGTGGAGATAGACCTGGACAAAAGCGCTTCAGAACGCAGATGACTAACCTCCAGCTAAAAGTGTTGAAGTCCTGTTTCAGTGACTACAGGACTCCCACTATGCTGGAATGTGAAGTACTTGGTAATGACATAGGACTTCCAAAGAGAGTGGTTCAGGTGTGGTTTCAAAATGCTCGTGCCAAGGAGAAAAAGGCAAAGCTCAACATGGCCAAGCACTTTGGAATAAATCAGACTTCCTACGAGGGGCCGAAGACAGAGTGCTCATTGTGTGGTGTCAAGTACAGTGCTCGCCTCTCTGTTCGTGATCACATCTTCTCCCAGCAACACATATCTAAAGTAAAAGACACCATAGGCAGCCAGATTGACAAGGAAAAAGAATACTTTGACCCAGCCACTGTCCGGCAACTTATGGCTCAACAAGAGATGGATCGTATTAAGAAAGCCAATGAGGTGTTAGGATTGGCGCAGCAGCAGGCCATGCAGCAGCAGGGAATGTTTGACAACCCAGCTATGCAGGCCCTGAACCTTCAGTCAGCCTATTCGAATCTCCAAGGCATCCCACCTGTCCTTCTGCCAGGGGTTGGTGGCCCCTCTCTTTCCAGCTTTAACTCGTCTAATTCAGGTACGACATTGATTTGCGCTTTTCAGGTTATTGTTATATGTTTTTTCTAAATTTAACATGGAAGACATAGAATATGGAAAAGGAGCAGTGGTGGCTTGGTGGTTAAGGAAGTGGACTTGGTTCCAGAAGGTTCAAGTCCACCAGCTGCCAAGTTACCACTGAGGTGCTCTGAGCATGGCACCGTCCCCACTCACTGCTGCCCTGGCTCTTAAAGCTGCCCACTGTTCACTTTGGTGTAAAAACAGAGGTTACATTTGGTTGTGTGCAGTGGTGTGCTGTGTCACAATGACAAGTAATTAAAAAAGGAAAAAAACAAAACAAATTTAGTGTAGCAAAACTCATTCACATTTTTTTTTTAATCGTTTGCATAGTAAACTGTTCTTCTCAAGTGATTGTCAATAATTTTGTGTCTGTGTTCCACATTTCCAGCTTTAACTCCTCCAAAACCTTCAAACCTCCTGAACATGCCAGGTGCCAGTGTTCCCTCTCCCAGCCTCCCCACGTCTGGATTACCCAATAAACCTCCATCTTCATCGTCTGTTGCCGCATCCAGCCCATCACAAACCAACACATCAGCTTCCCACTCCAGCCCTACCACATCAAGTTCAACTTCCTCAACTACTCAGTCCAGCTCCAGGCCCGAAGCACCCAAAGAACGTGATACTGAGAGGGTCAGGGAGAAGGAAAAGCCCAAGGAAAAGACGGAGAAGCCTTCAACTCCATCGTCCACTGGAAGCACCCCTGCCCCTTCCACTTCAGCTGCCAGCGCCAAGAAGGAGAAACCAGATACAGCTATGCCTGCCACCTCTATGCCTACACCTGGCATGGAGTATGTGGTTGATCCTGCCCAGCTCCAGGCTCTTCAGGCTGCTCTGGCTTCTGATCCCACAGCTCTACTCACCAACCAGTTCTTGCCGTACTTCATGCCTGGCTTTTCTCCATACTACACTCCACAGATCCCTGGAGCTCTCCAAGGGGGATACTTGCAGCCTATGTATGGTATGGAAAGTCTCTTCCCTTACAACCCAGCATTGTCACAGGCGTTGATGGGTCTGTCTCCAGGGTCTCTACTGCAACATTACCAGCAATATCAGCAGAGCTTACAGGAGGCACTTCAGCAGCAGCAGCAGCAGCAACAGCAACAGCAGCAGCAGCAACAGCAGCAGCAACAGCAGCAGCAACAGCGGCAGCTTCAGCAGATCCAGCAACCCAAGGCGAGCCAAACTACAGGTCCCTCTCAGTCTTTGGGGGATCGTAAAGAATCTGCCAAAGATGCTGTAAAAACAGAGGAGCAAAAGGGCAACTCCAGTAATGATCCCCCCACTTCTTCCTCTTCCTCCACCCACAACAAAGTACCCACTGAGCAGAATGAGAGGGATGGCAAAGCTGGTGACCCACATCTGGATCCATTCATTGTCCCCAAAGTGCAGTATAAACTGGCATGCCGCAAATGTCAAGCCGTTTTCACCAAGGAAGAAGCAGCTGTTACCCATCTTAAATCGAACTGCTTTTTCGGTCAGTCTGTGGCAAACCTGCAAGAGATGTTGATGCGTGTCCCCAGCAGCGTAAGTGCAGGGACTGGAGGTTTCTATGACTGTCTGGCTTGTGACACTACGTTGGATGGAGAGAAAGCACTCAGTCAACATCTGGAATCGGCGTTGCACAAACACAGAACAATCAAACGATCAGCCAGAAATGCCAAAGAGCACGCTTCTAGTTTATTACCTCACTCTTCAGCCTGCTTCCCCAATCCTAACACCACATCTACCTCGCAGTCTGCCACTCATCCCATCAGCAGTCCCACCACTCCGCCAACGACATTGACCACCATGCCATCCTCCGCCGCCTCCTCTTCTTTGTGCTCCACCTCGACCACCCCAGTCAACACCACAGCTGCCGGTAAACCCTGGCCCCAGGCCACTTTCTCCAGAGCTTTAGCTGGGAAACCCAATGCCAGTCCCTCCTCTTGTTCCTCTTCTTTTCCCCCAGTGTCCTCACCTTCAACGGTTACCTCAAGTTCATTGAGCACCTCAGGAGTTCAGACCTCGATACCAACAGACGTCTTTACTGACGAGTCTGACTCTGACAACAGTCAGAAGTCAACAGACAGGCCAGGCATGACGGTGGAGGAGCCGCAGCAGCCTGGTTTTGTCAAAGACAGTAGTAGTTGTAGTAGTAATCTTGCTAGTGTAGGAACAGACTCCATCAGATTGTAAAAGAGCTTTCAGTGATGAACAATATTTAAAAAACACAAAAAGACAAAAAAAACACAAAAAAAAAACAAAAAAAAAGAGCAGCAATGTTAAAAATACATTAAAATATACAAACCAATTTCAGAAAAGATGTGTAAAGACTAACTGCAATTCCAAAGCTTGTAACCAAAAATTTAAATGTTAGTGGATTGTTTTCCCATATCAACATGCTGGTTCCATTTTTATTTTATTTTATTTTTTTATTATTATTATTTTTTGTTTGTTTGTTTTTAATTTTACTCAACTGAAATACATGCCTACTAATATATGAGAATAGAAAAGATCACTGCAGTTATGTTTTAGGTGAAGGTAGAGGGATGCTGTACTGTATGGCAATGGACTGCCTCAAAGTTGACAAATGGCCTACGAAACCTTTCAAAGAAATGTGCGTCAACAAGCTGTCCCTTTGTTTTGTAATGATTTCTACTTAATAGCACAGTCACAAAAAGCCAGTATGTACTGTATGGGAGAATAGTCTATCAGTTTTCTTGCTATTTAAGCATTCAGATACCAATGGCTTGCAAAACAAAAAAATTATGTAATGTCTATTTTATTCTCAGGTCAAAGCTCACAGATATTTTTTTTCTGTTACAGAAATCCATTTTTACACATTTTGTTCTCATCAAAAGATGAACATTTGTTTTTCTTCTCCTTCAAAACTTGATTTATTATTAGTAAAAACTTTTTTATTATTTGAAATTCAATAAGGCATTGTTTCTGGGCATTTAAAAGGGGGAAATAATTTTAATATCAGACGTCCTTTTCTAAAAAGGGAGAAACAAGCAATCCCAGACATGGAGAGCACTGCAGAAACAATTATGGGCGAAAAAGTGTTTTGATTGAACCTAAAAAAAAAAATGACATTCTGTATTTATGATAAATATGAACAGTTTCGGTGTTAAGTAGATTGTTGCATTGGAATTGAATTGAAACAGTATGGTAGGTTGAAAATGAAAAGTTGTTGTACATTTAGCTTTTGTATTGTCCAACTTTAAGACACTTCATTTGATGTTGTCTCGGTCATTCCAATAGTCTAGATCTATGGACAGATAATTTATATAAAGTTTTTTTCCGTCTTATTCTCAAATATTTGGGCGACATTCACCCAAACTCTGCTCCTGATGAGGAAGGACCCTCTTTTAGAACTATTTAAATTTTATAGTAGGCTTGGTTTTCTATTAACCAAGATAAAAAAAAACAGATCCCGGGTGAAATATTGAAAGTTTTATTTTTATTTAATTTTTATGTTACCTTTGTGCACTTATCACTGTCTGACTTCTATTTCTCACTCTTCTTATTCTTCTCGGTGCACTTATTTTTCCTCTGCTCCCCTGCGTTTGTAGATTTGTACGCTACAACGCAGGCCTCTTTGTTCTTCATGTAGTGCGGTTACAGTCTTTATTTTCATTTTGACATTTTTGTTGTCATAAATGAAAAACGAAAAAAGAAATACTAATAATAATTCTCACGCTTTAAGACAAAAAGAAAATCCAAAGACGAAACACTTTCACCATTGGTGCATAAAGATGAGAAAAGAGGCTTCTTTATACTTGAGAATTTGTTGCTGTTTTTAGTGGAAAGAAAACAAAGTTTTAAAAGATAAAGGAGTACGCATCAGAGCTGCCGCATTTGCTTCTCTGCGGGCAAACAGGTAGCTTTTTTACGTAAATACCAAAAACCAAAAAGGGCCCTTGTCCTTGCATTGTGGAGTAGCACCGTTACAGAGCCATTGCAGTTTGTAAGATAGAGGTTATTATTCTTTCTTTGACTCTTTTGTCACATTAAAATGTCCATTTTTTAAAAAAAAATAAAAAAAATGTATAAGGTCTGGTCTTCAAGGACATACGTTTTGCTGCTAATGTAGAATTTTGAAAGAAAAAAGTACCTAGATGCATGCTCATTTTGCTTTTGGCTAAGCTTTAACGAAAACAAACAATAAAACCAATTTCTTGCCTCTGCGACACCTTTTTTTTTCCTTGTTGCAAAAACGGAACTTTGAAGACTGTGAATATTTGTTCCAAAGGACATTTTGCCGAGTTTAGTTTTTTGTTTGATTTGTTTTGTTTTGAACATACCAATGTTTGAAGCCAATGATCTATAACATTTGTAAAGACCAGTGCATTCCAAACGTCACAATGGATTTTTCTTAAGTGAGGACTGATCCTGTTTCATTCAGTTGCTTTCGATCGTCACTTCTTTTTGTTATTCGTTTAAAAGTGACTAAACTGTTGTGTAAATTCTTTGTGTCATCGGTCCCTGAAAATGGTGACCTCCTTATGTCATTTTTGTGCTGGCATGGAACGTTGCTGAAAATCCCTTCATCCAGTCAAGGTTGTTGCTCACTTGTTAAGCAAGTAATAGTGGTTACCAAAAAATGTATATAATACATCTGGTACTGATGTGTCTCATAGGTTTAGTAGCATTTATGCCAGTTAACATACAACTAGTCTGACAGGGAAATGATGGCTGTTTTTGCTGAGGTGTCATTGCCCCCCCCCCCAGTTTTCCTGGGAACATGACTTGTCCCATGGGTCTGCAGGGTGCCACTATCCCACATAGTTTACAGCTTTTCAAGGGGCATCTTCAATCCAAAGCATTGTTTCTGGAAAAAGTAGGAGGTTCCTTGGAGATGTCCCTTGTTTTCAAATACTTTGAATGCTTTCATGTCCAAAGAAGTCACCAACCTCTGTTTATTGCAATAGAAATCCACGGGCATAATTATCATCGCCTTCCCACTGATCCTGAGATTTTGTTTTCCCTCCAGCCCCCTACCCAGGCATATTTAAAATTTGTAAAGAACTGACTGACGTCACACAACATGGCTTATATTCACCCCTGAAAAAATTCAGGGCAAAATCTCAGAAATATATTCAAGTGCTATGTGATTTGGTGTTAATACCTACAGCATGCTGTTGAAAGTTGCTAGATTTGTTTGGAAACGCTCTGAATTATCTCATGTCCAGTTCCCTTCAAAAGAAGAAAAAAAACAATCCTAGGTTGTACAGGTTTTTTTTTTGTTAGTTTTTTTTTTATATATTATTTCTTTATTTTAATTTCCAGATTATGTCAGACATTCATTTTATTTTTATATAAGAATTTCTTTTTAAATGTTTTATATTACTTTATTATAAATTAACATTAGCTTTAATTTGAATCACAAAAATTGAGAAACAATTTTGAGAAAAATATGAACTGGCCACTTTATGGTGTAATAATGTGCTTTCAGTCAACGATAAAAGTCGTCTTTTATTTCCAAAGTGAAATCTCTTTGGCTGTTGAGCCAAAGAGAAATTTAAAATCCCTGCATTCGATTTTTTTCCCAGCATGGACTGTGTGTGTAATTTGATGTTTGTGTGAGAGATTTTTTATAAGTCATTTTTCTTTGTTTGCCCTTGGATTTTTATTTTGTATGTTACACACCAAAAAGAAGGGAAAAAAAACAGAACCACAAAGCTGGATTTAAACAAGTGAAATTTAGAAAATCAAAATTCAATGTTAACGATCAGAAACGTGAATAAAGACAAAGAAGCACTGAGCAGTTTTTACTCTGATTGAACATTTGAATGTGGCCAAAGCTTTATGCATCTGAAACAAACAAAAATACACCTGTCCCAGAATTATTGTGTATTTGACTGTGGCACACAATGATCGTGTGGATGAATAGATCCACTCTCTTTTCAGTGTGATACTTGATTCTAATGGACATTTTCAAAGACAGGTAACCAGAAGGTTTTGCTGTAGAGGTCCATCTTTGCCCACTGTGAAAATGCAGTTGTACCTGTATACAGATATAGATATATTTAAAACAAAATGTCATCTTTTTTTGTTGGTTTCTTTTGAGATGAAGAAATAATGACGAGGAAAAAAAAAAACTGACTCGGGGAAGCTTTTAGGAGGACTCGAAAGGCTGTGGGCACACCAAAACTGGGCATGGGAGCCAAAATGGGCTCAAAACAGCTTTAATATCACCTCCTTTTCGATTACTTCAAACTATGTAATGGAAATGGACTCTGGAACCAATGGACGTGAAGATGAAACTGAACTGTTGTGGCTTCAGCTGCCTGCTTCTCCTTTCTGTCTGTCTTTTTTCTTTTCTCCAGCTCTGCCTCTGCTTCTGCTTTTAACAGACGTTGGACGTCCACAGTACAGACAGAGAAAGCTGCTTCATTTCACCCGCTCCATGTCGCTACCTGTTTATATTTCCTCGTACTCGTCAGCGGTTGACGAGTGCGAGCTCTCCAGTCAAATGACGGCTCACGTTGCTCTCTCTGTTGATTACATCTTCTCTAAAAAGAGAGAGAGAAAAGAATTTCACAGGGAAGGAAAAGGGTTCTCAAAGGTGTCATTCTTTAAAGAGGCAGTTACACTTAAAAAGCGTATTAACCAAAATTAACAACCAAACTAACAACCAAACAACCATTTGCTCCAACTTGAAAGATGAACTGTTACTTGGAGCTCTCTGTTCCTTTGTGACTTCTGGTGCCACAATGTTTTTTTAATGCTTTTAGTTTGTTTTTTTTCTTTCTTTCTTTCAATTACTTCTCCTTCGAGCCTCATAAGCATGGCTCTGTGGTTCCAGGCAGCCCATCAGAGGGTAGAAAAAAACAGCCTTGCAATGTACAAAAAAGAGCAAGTTAAACCAAAAATGTTGTTCTTGATGTCTTTTCTATACTGTAGTCTTGTTAGCTTTTTTGTTACTGTAATTATATGATGAAGATTTCCAAACTGTACCAAATTACATGGAAACTAACAAACATACAACCATACGGAACTTCAGACTTTTAAACAAACTTTTGTCACAAAACCTTGTTGTCCTAGTTAAGTTGATTGTAGATGGTAATTGAATATACTCCTTTGAAAATATTTCATCAAGTATGTTTCTTGCTCATTGTGATACATTAAAAATATGAGCATAAATTGCAGCCGCTTGGACTTGTCTTTCATTGCCGTGAATGTGTCGTGTGTGCATCTATCGTGTGTCTGTGCTTGTGTACCTTTTTTTATTATTCGTGCAAAGTCTAATGTAACATGAACAGAAAATAACACCAAAAAAACAGGGTTGTGTTTGTAATAGATGTGTTTGTCTTGTTCTAAAATCACAAGTTATTAACAAAAACACAGGATTATTCAATATTCTTATTTACCATAAATTGATCATTAGATGATTTATTTTTACGTTAGGCTCTACTGTGCAAATGCTGCCGTACTAATGCTAATGGGTTTGAGTGAAACTCACTCAAACCCATTATAGTAATTCATCCTTCAGTCATTGTCTACAGGCTGAATCCTTCTCAGGGTCTTTTGAGGGGCTGTGGCCGATCCTGGCAAACACTGGTTGAGGGCGGAGGACACATTAAACCAATGAGTGTCCGTTATTTTTTATATTTTTTGGCTTGACAGCTCCAATTCAAATAATCAGGCTAAAGTGCTCTACCTGGATTTAAAATGTTAAATATATATTTACCAATTTAAAGTGAACAAACTTTATATCTACATTTTACATTGGGATAGTGTTTAAATTGATCCAGCTCTATGGGACAGTATGATTCAATTCTTACAGTTTATTGTCAGTACTGCACTATGGAACTATATTTATATATTTTTTTTTAATTTGGCTCATGATCTAGCAGCACTCCTGGAGATGTTTGTGGACAGTGAGAAGCAGACGTCCTGGAGTAAAGTCAACATAAAAACTCTAAACAGAAAGAACATCAGTTACCACCAGGGATTGAACCCTCATCCTTCTTGCATTCCCCCAGATAACTAACTAATTAATTGTATCAAAATGTACATTTTGGTGGTTTTATAGCACATGTATATAGAAAACAATTATTCTCAATTTTTCTTTGTAATTATTGATTATTAAAATACCTTCTGGCAAAATAATCTTCAAATACCAGGATGAAGCATAGGTTAGTCTGAAAAATATAAAGTCAAACCCTGAGAGATTACTTTGACTAACTGGCAGAGTGGAAACAAATCAATTTAACAAGTCACCCAGTAGTTCAACATCTAGTCCTGAACTTTTTAGACAACTGTCCGAGAGTACACTTTTTTACTACTAAGTACTAGGAGATATTTCATAACAGCGAGTATGTTGTGGTCGCTCTGTGTTTTTGTCTTTCACAACAAATTCATTGCAGAAATATAAAAATGAGGGTTAGCAATTATGAATTATTGAAAGCAAGAGTCGATATCTCTGGACTTTTTATCTCTGGAATTTTATTGGGCTGCATCTGTTTTAACAGGAAGAAAAGTAAAGTGAATGCATAAGTAAAATTCCAACAAAACACCATTTCCCTTTTGAAGTTTATCCTCTAACAAGCCCTTTTATTAGATAAACCGACACAAACATCTATGTTTTTACACTCTCCTTCCTTCATTCTATGCCTGAATAATTCTTAGAGGAAATTGCAATATTGTCTGCTTATTTGATATTTCAAGAAAGATTTCTATTTTTATGCATCAAAACACATTCTCACAAATGTGTTTTCCAAGGGAAAAAACCTACAATGTCTTAGTGTGAGGAGCTTTCAGATGTTTTTTTGGTTTTGTTTTGTTTTTTTTTGTTAAGATAGAAGCCATCGAGTGTCAGGCCACAGGCAAGATTCATTGTCCATGTTGAGCCAATTAACACACAAGGGCACATCCCGAATGAATTAAAAACACACTAATCTGATCAGTGTGAAAAGCAAGGCCATTTCCTTCACATGCCTGGACCAGATGGCACTCTCACTCAGATGTTGCATTGAACCGGGCCAGGCCTAGTCACACAGTGTGAAATTGGGTTAGTGCCATGGTCCTAACACAGACCTTGGGCACTTTCTTCCTCCCAAACTGGCTCTTGTTTGGCCTAAAGGTACAGGGGCAGCCTTGTCAGTCTTTGTCCTCATATTAAATTATCATCCTCACTACAGCAGTCTGTCCAGTCAGACAGGGAGCTCAGCCTTTTACATTGCTCCAGTAAATAACCAGCGACATATACCACAGAATGTGCTCTGACCAGACACAGGCCCTGCTCTGTTGGATTGAATATCACACACTCTACTGATGAATCATCCATGGTTGGTGTTGCCAGACTTGAGGTCTACTGTGTGCTCTGCTCTTCAGTTGTAGCGATAACTTGGATCATTCCTGTGTAAATGATTAAAATAGTCTATCTCATCTTGGTTATCATTTGTGACAATGCGAGAACCCAATCTGAAATAGTAACTGCTGTATTAAAAACTACCATAAACAGTAATAATAATCCCACAGTCATAGTCAGGCACAATGGAGCAGTTCCTTTAAAAAGGCCTTTCTTTCCTGCCAACATTCTCCAATCTTCAGAACTTGCCAAGCTAAAACTGTGATTCATTTAAATTGTCTTTGGCAGTATTTTATATTATGCAGAATAATATGCTTGGACCTTAATGAGAAATCACCCTATGCTACGTGTGCTAGCAGTATTTAGGTTTCAATTACCTAGCCTAAACTGAAGATGTACATTACCGCATTACCACAGCTCTTACTGATGTGAAGGTCAGAGCGAACTATTGACCTAATCCATGATTTTGGATTGTGGGAGAAAACCAAAAGAAAAAAACAGAAACAAAAGGAGAACAACAAACTCTAATTTTTTCCTGTATGTCAAGACCACTAACCACTCTTTCACCGCGTTGCCTCAGAGAGGGCTTGTGTTACCATCATTGTGTGTTAACCACTGAAAGTTTCTGGTTCAATAGAAGCACGACTGTAATGGATGTAACTGCAAACCCAGGCTGCTGCCTACCTTCAGCTTTTTCGGTGTTCTGCTCTGTGACATTTGCCTCTTAGCAAACGTTTTATTTTACACTGGTAATTCCATCTAATCTGCCAGATTAAATGACGTTTGTCGATCACTACTTTTCCTAAAGTTATGTTGGTTTACACACATCAGTGTTGGGCTTAACCTGGATTAAGTGTGTAGGCTGAGACCCCCCGACCCCCGTCCTTTTCTAGAAATCCACATTATTGGCTCCCCATCTGCATAGGGCTCCTGCTGGGGAGCCGAGGTGTTGAGGGTTCCCTGGAAGGCTGTGGGCTTTGCCAAAGCATTTCCTTTCTCCAGAACAGAAGATCAGGTGTCGCCATTTTCACAGCACCTTCTGGTTCTGTTTAACAGGAAATGAGGTCCATCAGAAGAACTCTGACCAAAACTGAGCCAGAATGGGCCCTGACAGGCAGGAATATTAGCCTGTGACGGCAGTCAGTAATTGAATGATCGGCTCCCCCCTTTTCTTTGTAATGAAGAGAATATGTGCTGCGAATGTATGTGTCCTTCACTATCCTCCGTGTGCCCTCTGCCTTCTCTTGTTCTCCCTCTTTCTTTCCCCTTTAATAAATCATTTGTGGTGCAGAATAAAGGGATAATTTTACTTTACTTCAAAGTGCTTCTCACGGTGTCTTTTCTGTAACCTCAAAGCAATGATGCATTTAAAAGGCTTCCAACGCTGCCTCCGCTGTGCTGATAGTGGCGTGAGAGACGGAGCTGAAGTACATAAGAGATCAATTATCACACCTCATTTTGTTCTCATATGCAAAATGATAATGGGTGGACCATGTCAGACCTGAACCATGGGGCGGTGTATCCTTTCTCTTTAAATGTGTTTCACAGATTGTCTGAAGGGGTCTGTTAAAGGCCTTTAACAGTTAGAAAGCAGACAGGAAAGAATTTGGCTTCTCCTTGATCTGTCTTCGAAATGTCCCTCTGTGGACAAGATGTGAGGGTGATAAATCAACAGGATTAATCTAACACTCTGCATATCACTGCACACCTGTAAACACACTGGACATTTTGTTAAAATAATCCCCGCCTGCCGTGCATAAGTCTTTGTCATCAAACAGTAGAACAACCGTGATTCCATATTTATGCGAGACAGAGTGGATTAGTCACAAAGAAGGCTTTGGTTCAAGGCAGTGCTGAGGGAAGGTGATGCTGTGGAGAAAGCAGGAGGCACAACTTAAAGGGTGCAGCGTCATATTTCACTTAGCTCACGGGGATGAATGTAAACCTTAAGAAGAATTCTCAATATAATGAATACTTTGAGACTTGTTAATATCTCTCCGACTTGGATTGGTATTTTTTAAACTTTAAACAGAATCAGTCGCAGTGTATTGCTGCTGGAATGCCTGTCAGACTGCACCCTGACCCTGCTCTGGCTGCTATAATGATGGGAAGATGAAAGAGACGGACCCATTCCCAGGCTGCCCTGTTAGGGGGTGCAAGTCTGTGAAATGGAGAGATAATGGAGACCAGGTGTGCTGTGGATGCCTGAGATACTCCTGAGTCAGTCTGAGGGCTCCTCTTAGTGAGATAGAAGGTACACTACCACCGCTGCAAATGGACTCGGCCAGCATCCAGTTCTTTTTACTAACACAGGTTGAGAGGGAGGGGTAGACAGAGAGAGAAAGAGAGACAGAGAGAGAGAGAGATGCAACTACTGGCTGTTCAAAACTGTCCTGCTTGATTTTTACCAGATTTTCTGAAATACAATTTTAAATACATGCCTGTATTTGGGGATTGTGTTCGATTTATGAAATAAGATCAACGATTTGATCAAATAATTATGGAAAAATGTGCACCTTTGTGGTTATCATCAACATCACTCACTCATTCACTCAGAGCAACAATTTAGACTTTAATCTGGTATTTTTCTTTCATTTAAATGGAAGTAGTTTCGAAAAAAAAGGTCAAGCTGCGGGGTCACAGAGGTCTCTCTAATTGGAACAGGCAAGCGGAGCTGTAATTACAATCTAATTAGCAAGCAGCCAGCAGAATCTCACATACCATCAAACATTAGCAATTTAACCCATTGAATGAACTTTCTCTGAACACATAACACACAGATTCCAGCAGATCCTGTGGGATAAAGAGTCTAGCCCACTTCTGTCTACAATATGGGGTCACTAGATGTCAATTGAAGTGGGAGCTAAAATGTTGAAGAGGGCCTCAAGTGAAGATAGGTCCTCATTAACGTCTCTTCCATAAGAGCTTGTTAGATGATAAATATTAAACATTGATTACATACAAATAGTAGTAAGTCTCTTATCATCACCGCCTATTGTCTTCCTAAGATTATCCCATAATTAAATCTATCAGGGTCGCGCATAGGCCTTCTTTTGAAGTGACTGAATTACTCATTATCCCCACATGAATAAGGGCCAATCACAGTGCCCACTGTATGATCAATCACAGGGAAGGAAGTACAGTCATTAGAGTGGAAGAATATTTAAGAAAAGCAAATACCCAGATAATAAAATGTCTGTTACTCAGTGTGGCCCAACTTAGTGAGCTGAATGAAGGTATTCCACTGCAGATTAAACCCATATTTTGTCAGGTTTATCTTAATGTTTTCAAATAATTTGGGCCAACGCAATAAAAGAGAAACATTCAATAAACATGTGCAACATTGTGTAATAAGCATATATTATTGAAGGACAATCAAGACATGTTCTACTGTTGAATATTCTGAATTTAAAATACTGTGAAATATGATTTGTAATCTCTAATAACCATTTGTTAATTTATGACCTGTATGTCTGACTGGTTTGCTACAAAAGATAAAACTATAAAACATTAATATTTAACTACAACATACTAACTAAACCCAGACATGCCACCCTTAATCCATATATGCCAAATTACTCTTGTTCTTTCTCTGTACTCTGAAGTATCAAGTATCCATTTAGGTTTTGTTCTACTGCATCTTAAAATGAACAGAGATACCATTTAAACAATGCTGTTATCATCCTGGCATGGTTTGATTATTCTTTTGACGTATTCATTTTGGACCAAGTGTCCTGTCAGAGGACTGTAACAAGGTATGATATACCTTGGCTGTTGCCACGGAGACAGCAGTCCACATTTACTTGTCATTATAGGAAAACCAAGGACTAATAGTCATTGTAGTCAATAATATGGAGACAAAAAAATGCTCATATTTAATTTTTGCTTTAATTATATGTACTTGGCTGTAAGCAAACATACTTTATTAAACACATATTCATTGTTTACGTCATAGCCATTCATTTTAGTTCCTAAATCAGGTAGCTAAAGGGTTTTAGTTGTCTGCGTTTATCTTTGTAAATTTTATTTGCACTGTATATTATTATGTTGGTGACCTCGTCTTTTAAACTTGCTGGTGTTGTAGCATACGGCCTGCATTAATAAGTAACGTTGGTTTATATAAAATATTCCAAATATTCCTCGCACTAAAAAAGCTCGCAGCTGTTTTTGGAAAGTTGTCTTTAATATCTCATTGGCTGGCGCAGCTGTTTGTCATTCACTGTCGAGCGTCATACCACGCATGCTCACTGCGTACCATTCTTCACCTACACAGGTGCACGCGAATGTACAAACGTGAGCGTGACGGAAAGGGCTTTGTTTGGCATTAAAATTTAAAGTACATCTAATGAAAGCTGGAGACAGCTGAAGAAAACGCAGCCCGGTCGGGTTTGCGTTTGTTTACAGGTAAATACGGAATATTTCTGACGTTTGTGATTCGGACCGCTCTGTGAAGAGTTGCATCCAGTGGGTCACTGCTGAAATGAAAGCACCTGTGTGTGGTGAAAAGGTTTATTCATCAGATTCAAAGTAGTAAACTTGCACAAGCCTACTCAACTTCGGGGTCGCGGTGTTTCGACTTTGTGACAGCTCCCCCTGTCAACTGGGAAGTATAAACTGCATTCTCTCATGGTTACCACGACTAGCTTGTTGTTCTTCTGTGCAGCTAATAAAAGAGCTGATTGGCTTTTTGAGTTTACTAAAGAAAACACCCTTTACGTTTAGTGAAAATCTAGATATTGCTACGTGATTATTTATATATTTAATGTTAGTAATGAACTGTTTGCCCGATACAGTACATAACGTAATCTCTTCCTTGCATAAAGCCAGATTCCTACCTAACTGTCTGCCCTTGTGTTGGGTTATTATTTCCAGGTGTTAAGGCATGGCCTCTGCTTGCAAACAGATGTTCTGCAAGTGAAGGCAGCACATTGTTTTGAGTATTGCTATTTCAAACTAAGTATTCTGCTGACACGAGTTTTGAAAAAAACATTGAACGATTAAAAAAAATAGCAAATGGTAAAATTACTATGAAAATATGAGAAAAACACAGTAGAGTGCTCACGTTTATGCTGAGTGGAGGGATGTAGTCACAGTCATGCTTGAAAGTAGGTTAGGCTTAAAAATTCAGAACACATTTTTTGTTTTGTTTGAGTAGCCTTTTGATTTTAGTGGACAACACACCTGGTAGTGAGTTTTAGTGTCACCATTGTATGTTTGTTTTTCAACTTTTTGTCCATTTAAACTCTCACACTGTTTATTCTTTTAAATGTTTGACTGATTTTCCCTTTTCTTTCTGCTGAAAACCTATTTTTCATGATGTACACCTGCCAAGAGTAATAATCGACTTTGTAGTAAAAGGACACGAAGCCCATAGCAGTACATTCCCCCTAAAATCTATTTGGACTTTTTTCTTTTTCCCACAAGCAGCTAAACTGAGATCAGATGTAGTTGCAATGAAATGTGACAGGGAATTGACTAAAGCATTGGAAATCAATGGGAAGAAAATGTGGTCCTTAAGTACAAGTGAACAGCTGACAGCTGTGCTGTTTTTACTTCTCTCTCTTTTTCCATGTTTTTTTTGCCTTTTTCTTATTCATTTTTTAACCTTGGGACTTTTAACCACAGCCACATTCTCTCCATCACCCAAAACATGATGTATCAGTTCTGTGAGGAATGTGCCTCTGTGTGTGTAAACATAAAGTAATATGTGTTTCTAAAGAACTTTCCTGTCCATCTATTCATCCATCTTTGACTCTCAGACCTGTCAAGTATCATTCAGTAGAGGGAAATTGATTTGTTCCCACTTTTGTTGCAGGAGAACGTCTACAATCAAGACTACAATCAGGACAAGACTACAGTCATTAAGCAGTCATTCTTAAGGTATTTCCTTGAAAAATTTAAATCAAAATGAAACATTGATTTACTATTTCATTCATTCATTCACCTTCTCTGGCTTGATTTTTCTCCAAGTACACAGATGGAGCCGGAGCCAGCCAATCCCAGCAGTCGTCCAGCGATGGTGTCCGGCGATGGTGTCCGGCGATGGTGTCCGGCGATGGTGTACGGCGATGGCAGATGATGGTGGACGACGGCGATGACGAAGGTACAACCTGTACAGTTCACTTGTTTTTTACTGAGTGTTATACAGTTCAGACTCAGTCACTCTATTTAAACTTTCTGAGCAACCGAATACTAATATAATGTTTGTGTGAGGAAATAATAAGTACACACACACACACTATATATATATATGTATATATATATATATATATGTATGTATGTATATATATATGTATGTATGTATATATATATATATGTATGTATGTATGTATATATATGTATATATATATGTATATATATATAAAGAAGAATAATTTTATAAACTCTACAAATGAATATACAATGACAAAAGAGTAAGAAATCCCTGTGGATGTTTTCTTTTTGTTCCCAAACCTCTTGTCTGTATTGCTTCCTGTTCACTAACTAGCAGGGTGTTGTGGAGTCAATATATCAGTGATCATAGTTAAAAAATAATTAAGAATATCCAAAATGATGAAAGCACCTTTATATAAAAGCAGGGAAACAAAACCGTTATGTCTGTCCTTGTTTTCCCCTACACTTCCATCTTCCCACCCACCATCTTCTTAATGCACACACTGCTGTGAGTGTGACCAGGCAGGGGTTAAATCCATTGCACCATAAAAAGGAGCTGTTCATAAAATGGAGGAATAAGAAGCAGAAATAATATTTCAAGTATGATTAGTTCATCCGCAGGGCACCTTGTGCGATTGAAAGGGGGGTGCGAGTGGGAGGGGGGCATTGTGCACGGCAAGCAGTAAATTATATCTAGCCTTTGAATGATTCCTGCAGATCCCATTACGACAGTGAGGGGGGACTTGGGAATGGTGGGGGGAACGGGGCAGTTTGGAGAGAGAAAAGCAGCAGAACGAATCGGATGAATTCTGTTTCCAGCTGTCCGAATGATGGCAGGAGATGAGTGTGTGTGTGTGTGTGTGTGTGTGTGTGTGTGTGTGTGTGTGTGTGTGTGTGTGTGTGTGTATGTATGGGTGTATGTGTGTATGTATGTGTGTATGTATGTATGTATGTATGTATGTATGACGAGAGAAGTGCAGAGAGCAGACAATAAGATCATTCATTCTCAACTCTAAAACACTGTGATGTAGACATGCGGACGTTACACAGTTCCAAACGCTGATTTTCACTTATACTGGACCAGTCGTTCTCCCCCAGTATAACACCAAGTCCTGCTGCCATGTTGAGAAAACACTGTCACCGTCACCACCTCTGCACTGTTCCAGTCAGGCTGCATATTTTAGAAGAGCTTGTCTGCCATTTGTCACTTTGACTGCTGATGTAGTAGCTGATGGTGGCATTAATGTGCTGCAGCAGCAGACGGTCCTCATGGGAAAGGCTAAAATTTATTCAACCACCCCCTCAGTTTTGACAGTGGTTACCAAATATTGTACATCAGTTCAGCATTGGGTTATTAATGAACAAGGTTACTGTTTGTTGTTATAGAAACAGCTGGATGAGGAAACGCTGTGTGATAAATTGCAGTTTCTTTGTTTTACAGTGCATTATTTCTTCATTAGCGCCATCTGTATCACATTGAAAAGCCAATCTAATTTTTTTCAATTACGTCAACAACATATTTTTCAATTACTTCATGAAATAAATGTCCCCTTTTCCTGCATCCAATTTTGGGAAAGACTGTTTGATATACTGTGTGAATGAGTTTATTAATTAAACCTCATTTTGGCCAACAGTGTTGGATGGTGGATAAGAGCCAAAGCAGGGAACAGAGGGCCCTGGACATTTAATGCAGAACATTAATAATAGCAAGGGAGGAGGCAGGGGGGAATTAAAAACGAACGAATTCTGCACGCCGTCCTCCCACTTTAATTGCAAATTTGAATTTCCTATAATGGATTCAGACATCTCAAGTCACCAAAATCTATCATTCTGAAAGGCATTATTCCTCAATTAACCTGTCAACCTCCCCTCCCTCACCACCGCCACCCGACGTCTTTCTGCAGGGCTTCAAAAGAAATGAAGAATTCTAATTACTTTCAAATATAAAACAGATTGATAATCCAGCCTTCTTCCACACACACACACACACACACACACAAAGGCACACCATGTGGAATCTCAGTATCTCTGAGCAAATACTGGCCTTTGTAAAAACATAGGAGTTGTAATTTAAAAATAGTTTGAATTTTTTGACTTAAACATGTTGAGACACGTCACTTGGATTTCAATGACAACTTCGACATGTTTTATTAAACCTTCTTCGTCAGTCATGACCCGTGCTGCCTTTTATTATGTACAATTATATCCTCAGAAATTAAAGTAAACTCAGTAACTCTTTAACTGAAAGGGCTTTACTTCTAGCTCCATGTGACTACAGACGTAAATCTGTTCATAAGCAGTCAGTGCAACAGGCAGTTGCATTCACATTCACTTGGTGACAGCTGAAGTCACACCAACCACAGCAGCTGCTGCTAATACAACTGTCGTCACGGCTGTGGCCATTTTTGTTCAGCAGAGCTCTATAGGACGACAAACACCTGCTTGTCATAGCGGCATCTAAAGCCCAGGCAGGGACTGACCCCAGATCAGTGATGAAGCCTGTGACTCCACAGTCACTCACAAATCACAAGGGGAAATGGTAGTAGTCGAAATGCAAAAAAAAAAAAAAAATTTTGTCGGTTATATATATTTTTAATATAAACCCAAATGTTTTAATTTAAACCCAAATGCAGTGTTACCTTTCTATATCACAGTTCACCTTTTGCTCCGTCAGTACATCGCAGACTTTTTATGTTTTGTTCAGATCTTGGATCATTTTTGCTATATCGCAATATTTTACGATAAATATTTTTTGCCCAATATTTTTATTACTTCCATGAAAAATAATCTAAAAGGGAAAAATATATAAATAGACAAAAAGACATTTTGCAACACATACATACAGGGTAATAAAAGCAAAAGAACATGTACAGTATATGGTTAGCATTTAATTAATGTAGGGTAATAGAGTTGGACACAGGAGGGCGCTGTTGTTGTTTGCGCCTCCAAAGTCCAAAGGTGGTTGTCGCAATTTTTGTTCTTGATGGGACATCATATTTTTGGAGCTTTTGCTGTGATGTGTTTTGAGTGTGTGTTTTGCCTTTATTGCGGTAAGGAGGAATAATAAGAGGTCATGCCTTGACATGTAAAAAGAAAGATCATCGGTCTTGGCGAGAAACATTTGCTCTACTTAAGCATTAAAACAGCTCTCCAAAATCCACCAGCAGGAGTACGTAGTCACCTTCTTTGTAAAGGTGTGGTACTTTGGCGTGTCCATGCCTGCGTTCCACATGGCCAGGCCCAAGGCATCGCTGTACTGAGATCAACTACCCGAAGATGGTGATCACGATGTTCTTGGCGATCATCATCATCGCCATACATTTCCCCACAGCAAAATCATCATCATCTTCATTCTAGAATATCAACTCTCTGCGTCTTATCTGTTTTCTCATTTATAATTTAAAATTACATTTACCTGTTCATCTGGATGTACATTGAATTTTAGTTTATAATTAGAATGTATTTTACACAGTTTTTTTTATGACCGTGTATTCATTTTTTTTAATATGTACGGTATGTCTTATATTTCCATTATACAACTCTACTGTGCATATAATTGTGCGGGAGGGTTGATAACAGTGTGGGGGAGGTTCATAAAGGGTAAATATATACGTAAATAATATAATAACTACATCGCCTCTACTTTGCAATTTTTTCCCTTTCGTGGTGGGTCTTGGAACGCAACTACCATGATAGAAGAGGGATTACTGTACGTTTCACTGTATGACTGCATGTTGTTTTCCATCGGGAGATATTTAGTACACTACTTTTTTTTTCTTGAGTTAGCCATATTTTCTGAACATTTAGCTGAGGGCATTGATGCAACATTACCTTGAAGAAAATGACAAAACAATAAAAAGAAATTAGCACACCTGGGTTGACAGACTTAACAAAACACCTATTCTTTGTCCATGACACACATTAGCCAGACCAGTCAGATTGTTATGGAGCCATTACTAATGATTTAGTGAATATTTTATCAGATTTCGGTGCTCATTTGCATTCAGGCATAAAAAAGCCAGCCATGCCAGGTCGAGGAGTTGAACTGATGGTGAGAGAGTGTGTGCTTGGCGGGGGTTTGTGCTCCGATCACTTCCTGCAGTCACTGATTATTTCCCACTTCTTTAATTTATAGCTCACAAAGGCTCAACAGGATTAAATGACAACCTTTCAAATTTTACTTTGGTGTTGCTTTGCATATACCATACTTATCCACTTTAGTAAGGCTTCAGCTCTGTTAGTTCATACTTAAAACACATTAAGATCCATTAAAATAAGTTGAGAGCAGGAACAAAAAAAAGGCTTCACTCTTATGGCAGTAGGGTTGACATTTACACATTTTTTTTTTTTTACAAAAATACTTTTAAGTATTTAGGAGAGGTTGTTTTATTCATTATTTCCTTCACATATAGGTTAGAATTGTTTCGTGTAATGGAAGTTCTGATTTAATGTCTAAATCTTAATGAAGTCTTAGTGAAGAGCTCCAACGATGAAAACATATATATATATATATATATATATATATATAAATAAGAATTCCGTCTTCCATATTCCCTGATCCCACATTGAATTTGATGTTACACCAGACAGCGTTCCAGCCATAACTAGGTAGGAGGAGCACCGGGAGGACACTTTTTCACCCTAACTATCGGGATGGGACCTTTTTGTACAGCAGCCACTTTGACAGGTCACAGGGGGGGAAAGTCACAGGTGGAAATATGTAAATGAATGACGGCTGAGCACAGTTACTGAATAGAGCCATTGTTGTGTTCATCTACAGTATCATCAATCCTATGGGGGAAGCTAGGGACTGTCCTAGCAAACAATTTTCGGAAAGCGGGCCATATTTGCCTACTACTGTGTGAGAGTATGCATGTTTCTGTATGTGATCTGTTTTTAGTTTTGTAGTTTTCTGTCTAAGGATGAAAATGTTCACATTTTAAATAATAT